AAGCAAGCTGCTCCACTGTGGGAAATAGGCTATCAAGTCCTGCCTTCCAGCCAGGCCTGCCTACCCAACCACCATGGCTGTCATCCAGTCCTCGGCCATGGTGAGCGCTGCCCTTGTCATGGGCATGGAGTGCTGTCAGGGGCTGCAGTCCAAATGGCCACTCTGAGTTGGTACCATGTGCCATAATGTCCCTGTGCCTGTGTGCGGTGGCCTCCATTGTGCAGGTGACAGCCCTGCCAAGAACATCTGGCTGGCGTTGCTTCAGGTCTCACAGCACCCATGTAGGAAAAGGCGCTATCAGCTCTCACTGGACAAACCCTACAACAACAGGCTCTGAGGCTGACACTTGCCCTTGGCCAGATGTCTGAGCAGCAGCAGGCTTGCAGAGGCAAGCGCTTCTCCACAGCTCATTCTCTATGTGCAGCTCTTCAAGAGCCAACTAGGAAAGGGGCTGCTGGGGCCAGATCGTGGCAGAGACATCGTTCAGTTTGCTTCTCTGCAAACACACTGACAAGTTATTTTCATACTTATTTCCTGCTGTTGAGTTGGGGCTGCTGCTGAACTACCAAAAATACCAGAATGCCAGACATGAGTCATGTACGTGGACAGCACAAGGAGCCTCTCCTGCCTCCCCCCTCTGCCCTAGGGGGAGCTGCAATGGTACCCAGAGAGGAAAGCCTGGCCAGGAGAGCTGAGCTGTAGAGTTCATACAGCCAGAGCTGGGCTCTATCCTTACAGCAAAGGAAGCTGAGTCATAACAAAGGGCAGAGAAACAGCCATAGCCTTGTTTGCCTGCAGCAGCATCACAAGAGGGAAGGAAAGGCTTAATGCTGGCTGTGCCACCCCACAGAAACAAGTCTGCAGAGTTGGTGAACCCAGGGGTGCTCTGTCAACTCCTCAGTGCCCCTGTTAGCACCAGCAGCCTCCAGCTCAGGGCCCTGGCAAGCAGACAATCATCACCTATGCACAACTCAGGAAAATAACAGGATTCATGAAGGATGCAGAACATTAACCCCCCTGATCTCCCTTGCGGGAGACCACGGTAGAGCTGCTGCCTGGGGCCACCTGAGAAGCATCCTGCCTGGTCTTCTGGGGGCAGTGCTGGGTCCAGATGGTCTGGGTTAGAGGCAGACTTGCTCCTTTGCTCCTGCATGTGGCTGGGAGGGAAATGAGCTATTTCCTATTTTGACCTGTGAGTCACTTCAGTGATGGAGACCATTAGTACTGGCAAAAATAGACATAGGGCTGGGAAACTCCATAGCCTGCAGAGTTACTTTTTCCCCTAGAGAGGGGCAAGTGCTGCAAGGCACTTGTAGTACCTGACTGAACCTGTTAGCTTGGGAGGAGACAGATCTTACCAGGGTCTCTATGACTGTCTTCGTGGACAGGCTGTCACTTGTGGTGTCTCAGATATGGGCTGTGTGCATTCCTGGAGCAGGAGGTTCCTGGTGACGCTCAGCAGACCCATATCTACCGTCATGATGACTATAGCTTGTAAGAGCTATTAACTGCCTTCTGAAGGCACCTGTCTGCTGAGGACATGCCAGGATTTCCCAGTTGGAACCAGGCTTAACAGTCTCACTACTGCATTGGCATCCCCTTATCACCAAAGTACACAACAGACCTTAAACAGGAGGACCAGAAATCCAGAAAACAATAGAAAAAAACCCTAAAGCTGACCAGGATTAACCCCTACCTCTAGGCATGTTCACTTTTAAGTAAGCTGTTATTAATGCACAAGGGAAGAGAGGCACAAAGCAGCCACAGTTGCATTTTTGAAAAGGATGAGCTGCCACATATGCTTGCCATATTTTCCCATTGGCTTTGGTTGTCCAAATATGCTTTTGATGATGAAGGGGTATCTTGGGACTCCTGTTTTCAGCTCAAAACATCTTCCTGTGTACCAAAAAATAGAAACTAGAAAACATTTTAGGGCTTTTAGTATTTTAATCTGACAGTACATAAGCCATGATCAGTGAGGAAGGAGCAGCTTTATTCAGTGAGCTCTGTCAAATGCATGCTTGTTTATTACATGTGGCTATGTCCTGGCTGCTATGTTTCCCTGTGCCCTCTGGGAAGACTCATGCTTTAAATCCATATCCCTCTGCCACTGCAGGAAAAAGTGTTTATCTCCAATATGAGGTGTTCTAGGTCACAGACCCTAAGACATTTCTAAAGGGCCTCTGTTTCTATCATGAAGAAACAGACAGCCTGAAGCCAAAAATCATGGCCCAGAGGCAGGATGCAGGAGGACCCAGGCATGGTGCTACATGGCAGTGCCAGGATGGCATGAAGAGAGCTTAGGACATTGAACTCTGTGGCAGACACAGATGGGGTTATCTGAGGACCCTCAATGAAGATTTATCCATGAACAACAATCTTGCACCTCTGAAAGCTTAAAAGGAAACATTTCTCAATCTATGTCACAAGCAAAACCACTCAGCAGGATGTTCCATTTCTGTCAGGGAATTCTTTCATCTCAGTCTCATCATCTCATTGTTCTCCTGGGCTGCAGTCAAGCAGGAATCAAAGTAATACCTGGCTAGGAAACTTCATGTAGCCTCCCTTGCAGTAGAAAGTGGGGTCCTCAATGTGCAGGAGGGGGGTGACTTTGAGGCAGAACCCAAGGAAGCCTGACATGAGTACTAAACCAAAGGGCAAAGCACATTCAGAGAGTCAAGATGAGACAACTTCCAGCGCAGGCAACATGCTCTGCCTGTGGTTTCCTAAGGAATGGGAGGACAGGGGGAAAGGACATTTTTTCAGTTCCTAGCTCGGATTGCTGCAGCCAGTAATATTCTTGCTGCTGAGTTCCATGTAGCCAAATAGGGTATGCTGGTGCATGTTCACATGTAAATGCCACTCCTGAGACTGTGAAATATGTTTGATGAAAGATGCTACATCAGCACTAGAGGTTATTTATAGACAAATCCAAAACCAAAATCCTGGATCTGCACATTCCCAATCTCCAGGGAAGTTCAGGTCAAATCTGAACTTTGTTGTCTTAGGCACACATAAACCTAACCAACCACATCTGCAGCCGGTGTCAGGTTTTTGTCAATGCAGAACAAAAATGCCCAGAGCCTTGGCTACAGGACCGCTTTTTTTTCATCTGATCTCCTTCGAGAGCCTGGCCCTGCTTTTTGCGTAGATGGAGGAACAAAAAAGAGCAAAGGCCACAAAACCCTTTTGTGTGAGTGTTGTCTTACCAGTCTGGGGAGTACAGTGAGAGAAAGGCAGGCTCTTTGTCTGAGCCCCTGACTCCACGAGGGAGCAGCACATCTCAAAACAAAGAATTTTAGCTCCCATTAGCAGCACAGTCAGAGTTGGAGCTGTCAAGAAGGGAGGGCAATGCCTGCCTCAGCCTCCTACCTGACTTCGTGTGGCTACCACACCCCCAAAAATCAGTGCCTGCCATTTTTGAAGATGAGGTTCACGTGGGTTCAGGGGACTGCATGTGTGCAAGGACCAGTCTCCTTTCCCGTTGCACGCAGCGCTGTGGCTGCCATGCTGGGCAGACTGACTGCGTAGCACAGCTCAGCAGCTATGCAGCAGCCTTGATTACCCATAATTGCAGCCTGATGGGGTTGAAGATTTTTGTGGCCTACCACTGCTGACCTTCTTGCCTGTCTTATGTTTCCATGAGCCCCGCTCCCCCCCAGCCCCAATCCTCAATGGGGCTCAAAGAGATACAGAGGAAGCATTAGAAGCATGGAGGGAGGAGAAAACTAGTTTCAGCGATAGTGAGGGAGAAGATGATCTTAAGATCCAGTCCGGCATCCTTCAGGCAAGACTCCTAAAACAGTAGTTGTGTTTGATACCTGCTGACTCCAGGCTCCATAGGTATAGGATTTGCCATAGTATTTCTCTTTGCTAAAGTCTTAAGCTCTAACATCTTGTCTTGGGTGGCTTCTACTTTGTTTCTATGCATTAGAAAACTCTTCAAGACAGCAGCTATAAATTCATACCCTCCCCATGTGCCAATCAATGTTTGAGGACTGACTCCAGTAAAATTTACTCAGCATTTCTACCCTGCTTACCTGAGATCTCAAAGGGTTTCCAACAAACGACGGCTTACCTCTGAATTAACTAGGCAAACACTGAAATCCTCAGGCTAGAAACTGGAAACAGAGACACAGAACATACCCTTGTCTCCAGTCAAATAATGAACGGGTAGCAACTTGAGGATAGGAATTCTGACAGCCCGACCCTACTTTCTCCTCCTGACCATTAGGTGGCTGAGCTGATCACAGATGAAGCACAGACAAAGCTTATCCCTTCTTAAAATGATCCTGCAATGGAATTCTCTGTAGTGTTTAACCAGTAAGCACTTTTATTGTTGATTTTGAATCCATTAAGACTATATTATGTTGTATTATAACACTTTGGCTACATCTCCCACATTTGCATGCAGGCATTACATTTGCAAAGTTTTCTCAGAAAAATGGAGCAGGTGCATAAAATGTATAAAGATTATAGGATTATAATGTGGAAGCAGCATGTCAGTTACAGAACTTTGTACCACATGTAACAGGAACAAACCCATACACCCATGTAAAACTTCTCTGTCCCCCCAAAATCCAACTGCTTCCTCTGTCCCTCACCTCCATGCCCCAGCTATCAGCCCACACCCCCACTGTTTCTGAAATCACTTATCTTCTAAAAAAAGTTTAGTACAGTACATTTTTTCCCTTAAAAACTAGAACATTTTTCCTTCTCTACCCCCTCCCCCCAAAAAACATAAAATCATAATCTGTTCAAGCACTGTTATATGTTAGGAGTCTACTGCATTATTCAAAAGTATCAGATCAGTAACAAACTTCTAAACAAACTAGGATGACCCAAAAATTCCCCTTCTCTAAAAACTACAGAGAACTGAAAATGCTATACTGCATTATCACACTTGCATGCATGTATCCTGAGCCACCTGTATTTATTCACCTTAAGCCCCTTTTAATAAATAACTGTCCAGCAGTAACATCCAGAAGTGTGCTGTCCCCTCCAAATTAAACTCTATATTTACAGAAGTAGGGCTGTTTTCTCAGTGAAATGTGTTTTTCTAAAAAAAACCCAAAATGAAATAACAACAATAAAACCAACATACAAATAAAGAGAGAAAGCATATTACTGATCATGTTGTCTAAAGACCAACAGGAGTAAAAAGCATTAGGAGCACCAGGTGCACATGCATTTGAACTGGTACAGTTCAGGAAATATGTCATTCATTGTTATGCTCACTCATTCAGACGAGGAGCTGATTCTTTTCCTTTCTTCCCTCACCCCCCCCCCTCGATTTAGGACCGTCTGCTCTGCAGTCTACTCTCACAGATGGCAATACATGCACTGAGGTTGAAAGATGGCCATAAACATGCTTTGATCAACGTGGTTCTGTATCAGCTTTAAACACATGGGGTTTCCATCCCCGCTGCTTTGTGCCTTGTGCCATGTCACATCTGTGTTGCTAGCCAAAGATCCTCCTAATCCACGTTTTTCTCTTGGATTTGGGGAAGCATTAGATATCCACTTTTTGCAAGTTTTGGATGATGCTATATACTAGAAAATACAGGACAATCATCCCACATGAGAACATTTCTTAGCATTTCTTAGCATTTACTATAATCAAAACTGACATACAAGCATACCATAACAAACCTTGAAATATCAAGCCAGTTGGAGGGATTTTGTCCATTTATTTTGAGCCAGGTCTCAGCTGATAGACACCAGTATTACTGCCTTGATTTCAGTTGGCTTATTCTAATTTGATTTGCCCCAAGTAAGTTTCAAGCTCAATAGACGGTGAAGTAGCAACCGTTTCCTCCTACTGCATTGTTACAGTGTCTGAGATCACTGCAAATGGGCACATTTCTACACAACTAACAGGCCCTTCTGTAGCCAGTGTAGCATATTCACTGCCCTCCACCTTTGCAAAGGCAATTCAGTTCAAGTTCACTTTTTCTTCTTCCCACTTTAGTGGCAAACTAAACCTGCAGCGCTCCTATTGCAGAAGCTGCAGCCAAAACACGAGTTACACACCAAATGCTTGATTTTATATAGTGAAAACGCTGGAAACTCCATTTATGCTGAATCTAATTTTCAATTTGATGGTGCTTTATCATATAGAGATCTCATCACCTGGAAGCGCAAACCACTCCTATTCTCGCTGCACTTGATAGGGATGCAGAAACTGTTAGTAGCTGTTATCTCTGCAAGACTGGCTATGCCAGCAAATAATATTACTCCTTTCAACTGCAAAAAACAGGCATAGTGGATATGTTACTGCGAGAAGCCCTCCCTAAGCCAACACCTCCATTCTTACTGGAAGTAAGTCAAGTTCTACCAACGCCAACAAATACAAATCAGTGCAAATCTGAAACAACCCTACTGACCGCCCTTAAGATCTGTACAGATGCAAGACAATACAAAATCTGGCTTCCAGGCTTTTTTATTAGCTAAAGCTTACTCCTGTGACTGTGTCACACTGGCTGCAAAAGGCCTTTCCATTCATAGCAGTGCTACTCTTTGAGCAATTTTTGTGAAGGAAGAAAAACCGAACAAAAACCGACCCAGCTCCCACACACAATCACAGACACACGCACACACATGCACACACACTTCTTTCTCCTCCAAACAGAAATCCATTCTTATGAAACAAATTATGCAGACCCTGTTCAAGTGACTAAAATGAATGAGGAGAAGGTTGAGTACCCCCAGTTCTCCTTTCTGATTACAATGAAGTCACAGGTCAGCAAAGTACTGGGCATAAGGATGTTCCTCTCGACCTGCAGGACATTTTAATGCATGCAGAAATGTTTTGCTGGCTTAGACCTAAATTAAGAACAGCTCCAAGGCCAGCAGGCACCTATGACTATGATGCCACTACTTGCACCAATATATATGAGGTAAGAGCATAACTCAAGAGCAGAGCAGTGCAAGAAGAGAAAGAGGCTCTGTGGTTCTTCTGAGTTTATCTTTGACAGCCTCAGCTGCATACACACGGCATGTCACAGTGATCAGCATAGACTGATGAGAGCTTGGTATGGTGTTCTGCAAGTGGGACTTCCACTGGAAACAGTAAGCCTGATCTGTCTTTGTACCAGTGCAATTTTATATGCCTGCAACAACTGCATGAAGAGGCCTAAAATCTGGAGGAACTGCATGATACTGTTAGTGTTTTATCTTAGACTCATGTGCCAGTAACTACTGTGATGTGCTACACACCCCCACCTACACACAGATGGAGAGATAGGTATATGCTGTGTCATAATGCAACACAAACATTATTTCTACAACTATCCTAATAACACAGCCAGTGCCAAAGCAAACCAGCATGGGAATTTGCAGCCACCCTCTCCAATACGATAGGTAGTGGTGAAGAAAAAGCAAGCTCAGGTGTTATTTTGATTCACTAGGGAATGATCTGGGCACAACCCATTCAGGTATTGCTCAGAGAACACTATTCATGGGCTGTCCCACAATCCCGCGTCATAAATTCCCACCTCTGTGTGGGTGCTCCCATCACTTTCTGGTGACACACAGAATGAAGGTCACAGGTGAGCAATCACTCTGTTTGGGAAGTACGCTAGGCAAACAATATATAAAACAGGGACAAAAGCTCACGCTGACACTTCACGCCATGCCTCTCGACCACAGGTAGACTACAAGGTTACATTTAGCGGAATCTGGGCTGTCTAAAGAAAGAGCTACTTATAGAGAAATTCATCTTTTAATCACAAGAGGATCTATTTCTGCTTGGCAGTAAGATCAAAAGAAAATTTATCTAATTAAATAGTACTGGAATCCCTCAATGCTGCTGATAAAAATAATACATGCTGTTTGCATATTACAGCATTCAGGCTCAAATCGCATGAATGTTTGCTCCATTTTAGAACTTGTTTTCTGTAAATAAAAACTAAACACCTGGCCAAAATGTTGGTTGTTTTTTTTTTTTCTTCAAAATTCCTCTGAACTTTGGACAAATCTGAACCCTGGCCATCAGTGGCTATCCTACGCAACCGAGTCTAAACATATGCAGAGATGGCAGGTTCAAACCCAATTTTCTTAGCAGAAGAAGATATTCCTCTTCCATGCTACATTACTGTTGCTTGATTATTGGCACATAGTCTCATTTTACCTCATTATTGCTATCGCCTTCTTATAAACTTCCAAGGAAATTCCACCTGCAGAACCAAAGGCAGAAAGTTATCTTTGCAACTATTGTTCCATATTATCATCTGGATGCAGTATTGTTGGGGAAAAGAAAGCAAATTTCTCAATGAACTATGTTTAACCAACTTGCAGGTGGCAGCTATCAAAACAGCTGATGCACATGTACCGGCTAAAGTTATTAATGAATGATTTGACATACCAAGCCAGACAAATGTCATATGTAAATAGATCTTCAACTGTATACACATAAAGCTGCTACTGTATCTAGATGATTCACTTTGGTTTGTTTCTATACCCCATAGCTCTGAATCTATCCACTGAATGTTTACTCAGCACGTGTGGTATAAATATATTCATACACTAAAATTGACACTTGGCAATTTTTCCTTTTTTTTTTTTTTTCATTTTTTCTTCTTTTTTTGCTGACCAGCAACAAATTCTGATATCTTTAACTGTAAACCAATACTCAATAAATATGCTGCGTTCAGCAAAGAGACACGTTTTGTCGATCAGGGTTTTGCTGCACTCTAAGCCATGGGCTGTGGTGGTGGGCGTGAAGGAGGAGGTCCAGGAGGCACTCGGGATGGGGGTGGTCCTGGAGGTGGCTGCCTGGAGGGAGGCTGCAGAGACACAGGAGGAGAATGATTCCTTGGAGCGTTGTTGAGAGGAACCTCCTCACGCCGTGGCAGCTTTGGTGGTGGGCTGTAAGGGGCAGAGGTTCCATCCGATTTCACTCGGGTGAAGTTCATGCATCTTCCCTAGAGGTAAAGAAAAATTCATCATTCATAAAACGCAGGTGTTTTGACTCAGCATAAGCTAGCCAAAGGGACTACAAGCAGAGGAGCCAGGCTGCACATAGATACCTTCATCCAGTATCATTCACTGGGTCCTAAACATGACATTCAGACCATACTATAATAAAGATCAGCACTAGAAACTAATGCTTCCAGAAACTGTGGTGGAACTGTGTATGCCAACAGTCATACCTGCCTTGGTGAGATCTCTGACAATAACCTCATAGTAGACACAGAATTATACCAGAGGAACAACTTCAGCAAAGACACCATCTGTAGCTTTCCTTTTCACAGTGATGCTAGCCTAGCTGCTGTCCGTGCTTTGAACAGTGCACTGGGATAGTACATCTGTCTTCTGTGCTCCAGTGCAGATTTGGCTTCCCTCAGTAAAACCAACAAGGTGTGGGACTTGCACAGTTTTCCAACGCGTGTGTTTTCAGAATATATGTGGAATGCAGGCAGGCAGAACCTGATGGGAGAACTGTGGACAGAGATTTTAAAACAGGAGTAGGTTGTGTTTGAAAAAAACACCAAGTACTGAGAATGTTCTAGTCAATTAGTGGCTAAATGCAAACTTGTCAGGGTTTCCTTTAGCCAAAGGAAAGCTTTGCATAGGTTACAACTAACTAAGTTCCAGACAGGAAGAAAGACGGACCCAAAAGACCACCTAAGCTTTTCCTGTGGGGAGTAGCCAAAGGCTCCCAGGCACTTTAAAACTTACATGGCAACCTCAGACACCAAGATCTCTACTGTCTGCTCTACTTACTCGTCCCCATGACCCCTGACTTTTGTTACAAACTGCCCCACTATTTTTGTGGAGGCCACATGAAATCCTGCAGACACAACCTTGTGTGAGGGAATGCAACACTTGGCACTAATGTCTCCACCTCCTCACCTATGGAGGTGGGAGGAGATGCTTGTGCAAGAACCCAGCTGTCACAAGCTTGGCGGAAGCCTGCACCTTGAAGTCAAAAGGCCTCTCATTGTCATGTACAAAGACTGAAGATGAAAACTGCCTGAAATACAGGAGTGACACAGCCAAAACCCCATTTACAGGAGCTGGGATGTGGTTTCCAAATAAGAACTGTGGGCTGGAAAGTACCCATCCCATCAGTGATGAACTCGATCTGCTAGCTCCTTCTCCTTTGCGCAGCAAGCCCGTTTTGGTCTGTGTAGCAATCATCTTAATGATGACAACCTCTACAGCTTAGCATAGAGGGGAATGTTACCTCTTTCTTTCCTTTCAAGACAAACACTAACCCGGGGAAAAGGAGAAAAACTGTTTGGTTTGTTTAGAAGATATCTGTCTCAGAAGGCATCTTCCCTCTGTTGTTTTGAAAGACCTGCAGAACCATGATGCGATGACACCAGAGGTTTAGGTTGCACACTGGAATAAACAAACCAAATTCAGCTCGAGGTTATGCCAACATCTCCCAAGCAAAATTCAGGAGAAAGACTCCAGGTTTAGAAGAGGTTATCTAAGAGCTAAGCAGCTGTAGATCATGACCCCACAGCTACCAATGCTGTGATAACAGGGGAGTACATCAGTGACAGATGGCTGCTAAATCAGTGCTGCCTGGCAAGACAAAACTCTGAAAATTCTTAGGGAATGGGATGTGTTTCTGTGGCAACCCCACAAATCACAGTTTCCCCTGGAATCCAGGCATAAGGCATCACAGGCTAACCACAACTATCTGTTTTGTTAAGTGACTTGTTCATGAAAACTATTTCTTTAAAAAGAAGGGGATTGCATAAGTCTGTGGCTTCTCTGAAGAAAGCCAAGTAGTGTATCAGGAGAAGCTTAAATAAGCTCCAGAGAGCTCAGAAAATGATTCAACAAATGTACTAATCTCCAAAGGGTACCACTGTCCCACTTACTTGGATCGGATGGCCCAGGGCTGCAAAAGCTCAGCTGCAGCCAGGAGTTGTTTAAATGGGCATCTTGTTGCCTGTATGTGAGACCTACTCAGTAGTTCTCCATCCTAGCTTTCGCCATCACAATTCATCACTGCACTTAAACAATAGTATCAATAGGTAGGATAAAAACCTCTTTCTAAAAATCCAGGCTTGTTACAGTACATTTTAGTTATGAACCAGGTGCAAGACAATACTATGCTGGGACCAGAGCCTTTCATGGAAGCAAAAGGCAAAAAGTCAAGGTCTTGGTCATTTCTGTAACAAAGATAAACCATTGGATCAATAAAACCAAGTCAATACTTTGCTCCATCACAGAACTTCAGTCCTTCACCAGCACTGGAGTGAGCAGCCACCTTGTTAGCTATTTGTCTTCTGTTGTGCACCATTGTAGTTAGAGCCCACTTGGAAATTCAGCAGTATTTACTGCCATGCAATGAATGTCACAGACATATTTAATAGCTGTACTTCAAATACATTTAGAAATATCAAGGCTGACTTTTCTTAAAGTTATGAATTTAGAACAGCTAAATAATCACCCAGAAAGAAGTCAGAGGTATTCAGATTAAATGCACCATTCAGATTAAATGGGGAGAGAAAAAACTAAGGATAATCTTGCTCATAATAAAAGCAAAGCTACAATCCCAACACAAGTGCTTGTGCTTACAAGCCTTTCCTGCCTCTCTGTTGTGTCTCTTTCCCAAACATCAATTCCAAATATATTCATAGTCTATAATCAAAGGGGATCCCATAAATCTGTTTGCATTACTTTCACTTCAGTTAAACTGATAGGCGACGTCAAACTGCTGCCAGTTTCTGCCACACTCACTGATTTGTCAGACAGATGGGTAATTTAAAGGCCATGCGCCGCATTGTGTCATAAAAAATACGGTTGGGTTGGGAGAGTCTGACAGACAGAGGCTTGGATGATCGATGTATGTATTGTGACACTTCCTCACAAAAGATTATTGGTGTTAGCCTACTATCTCATATATCAAAGAATTCTGGTGAACACTGGAGGAAATCCTCCTGAGTACTTCAACCAGCCATTGATAAAATGAGGCCAAATCCTTAGCCAGTGTAAGTATTATTAACAGATGAAAGGGAAAGGGAGGAACAATTGGTAAGAGATTGTAAATTGCAATTTGGACTTATCAAGCATATTTCATCAAAGGATTTCTAGGTTGAAGAATTAAGTCCTCCGCTCATCACACTTCCCCAATAACACAGGTATTCTACCTAACATGCACTTCCCTCTCGGGTTAGTTTATAAAAAAAACAAAACATGATGTTCCGCAAAGAAATATGCTAACCACAGGATTTTTAATATTTGTGTTTGAAAGGACTAAGTAATTTCCTCTCCAAAGGCATATAAAGGCTTTTAAACCATAGAGAACATGGACAGAAATCAGACACGCTCACCTACGTTCTCCTTGCACAGGAGATTAACAGGTATTAAGAGCCACCTCCATTTTAATAGCGGTAACAGCAGGTATTTTTTCCAGAAGCATGGTATACACTAAGTGTTTTAGGGAAGGTGTCAGAGTTGCAAGGTGTGCTAATACCAGGATGATCCCAGGCACAACAGCTGTCGGTAGCTGCTGTATTGTTTTCTAGGAAGCAGATGATCTGTGTAAATCCAGTTTTGTCTGGTTTCAGCCCTGCTCCCAGTACAGCATCTATCAGATGGTGCGACCTGCACCGCATACTGTCATTCACGCACTAACTGAAGGTCAGCATTGTGCCATATGGAGTTACGCCCTTACTTCAGCTCACATCTGCACAGTATTCCTAATGCACAATTATTTTGCCTCCCCATATGCCCATCTACTTGTTAGGCTCTTGTTACGCTGCTTGCCAAATTGGCTTTCAGAAAGTACGAGTACTGAAGGAGCAGGATCTGCTGTTGTCCTGACTCCAGCTTTTATCCCAGTATAACAATCACATGTGCAATTCAGGCAATTTGTACTTCTAGGCAATGCCTCCTCGACCACCTAGGATGTGTTTTTGTGTGTGGTTTAAGCGGGGGAGAAGGAAGGGAGAAACCTCTTGAAAGCCACTGCATCGTGTTTCTGGGCTACTTTCATCATAATTCTCAGTTCATCATCCCCCAGTGCTTGTTCCCCCATTTTTTTTTGCTACTACTCAGCATGTTTTCAGTGGAAAGGAACTACTGTTAAAAAGAATCCAGGCAATTCAAAGAGCACGCTGGGAAAGTCTCTTCATCATGATACTAACAGCACTTCAGCAAAAAAGAACTTAAAAAATCACCCCATTCACCAGTAGCTGTCCCTTTTCTCTGTTCAATTTAATACATGAGTTTTTATTCAACAAAAGACAAATCCAGTTTGTTTGTGTACACAAAAGGTATGTCTGTTTCTTATTTTTAGCTGCATTAGCTGACCTAATAAAAGATACCATTTCTTTAGAAATGATTTTTGCTTATTACAAATTTTGCTTGAGTTTTCATTCATTCCTGGTTTTATTTATAGAGTCTCAGTACTGTAATTCTGAGTAGCAGAGGGAGGTATCTGACTGAGGAGCTGGATTCTCTTAAATGCCTACTGAAACTTCTCTGTCTTTGACTTTGCAAGAATATGATACATAGCTTTACATTTTAGAATGGATTAAATAAAATCATTCCTTTAAAGTTTGAGATTGGCAATCCAAAGCACCAGGCCACCAAATTAAAAAAATAAAGTAGCTCCCAGTCAAAAGTATTACATCTAGGATATTGGAATGTGAAATGAACATAATTTCCTTGGGCTCAAATAAGTAGTCACCTTTGTCCCCAATTTTGTTAATGTATGTCACTGAGATGACGCTGCCAGCTTGCAATGGATGTGGTTCATCAGCATGTAGCTTTGCTTCCTAAATATCTACCAATAGTGCAGTGTAAAAGCGAACTCAAAAGAATACATCCAGGTTTTTGCTCTTGTGGTTACAAAACCACAAGAGTGAGCATCTACAAAAAGTCAGAATCACTTTAGCTAAGTGAAGGTTTTGATCCACACACCCAGAAACCAGTGGGATAAATACCTTTAAGATCA